TATTATAATCCTGCGAGATGTAATGATTGAGAGATTAATAATAATAATAAATCTTGGGGTTGTTAGGTCAATTTAATCGGTGATAACGATGTACACACCGTTCGTGATGAAAAATGTAGAAGGAATTTTGAGACTCAGACCGTTGTCCTTAGCAGTAACGTCGGCGTTATGGCGGATATGCAATGTGATGACATTACTAGTAATTATTACCAAATTACCAAAGTGGTATCTATAGATAATAATATGATAATATCCCATTGTATTAGATGATATTAAGGTCTTCAGATGTGGATGGACTTCAGTTTACAGAAAATGTCTATTTCTATTGATAATTATAGCATTAATATTTATGGAGATGTGGAAACATAACCCCACAAGATTTTACAGGTAAATATAATGCTATGGTCAATAATGATCGAATATAGTTGAATAGCAATAATTTTGAATAAATGGTATAAAAATAATTTTTTAACGGTGCCGAATACGTAGGTACAACGATGTCTAGTGTAAATTGGTGTATTCAAATATTGTAACTTATAATTAATAGTTGAGGAATTACATTCTGAGGAATGTAATTCAACATTACTTAGTGATTTTATAAACATTTTTGATTAATTGATATTTAAAAAAAATGCAACTTATAATTTTTAATTAACATACTTATGGTATAGGAAATTAATCATAAAAATTAAGCCCTCAGAAATATGGGTCATTGTGCTTGTATAAAAAATAAAATTATTGCAAAATTTACAGTGAGCTTATTCTAAAGATGAAATTTATATAATAATAATAATAAAATAATTGTAAACTATAATTTTTTTTTAAATCGTTATTAATTTTAGTACCATGCAAAACCTTATGTGTTTAAAACCTGATTTGTCCATGGAGACTATTGTGCCTGAGTGCAGGTTACCAACTGGTCGGGATCCTGCAGTGGGATCATCTACAGATTGCGGGGATCTTAATCGTAACTGTCGCAGTTGTAGCCACCATTCAAACTTATATTCTAAAATGGTAAGTCAAAAATGTTCTGATACGTACAATAGTAATAATAGATGATAATTAATAAACATTTTCAACTAATGAAGTACAAAAGATATTTTATTGTACAGTACGACCCAATGATTCAAACATATAATCTTATACTGCTGAATTTTATTTAGTCGTGTATATTTGACGAAAGCGTACCGTCGTAATAATTAATATTGATAATGTGTATGGTTTTTAGACTGACGATAAAAATGCTGATGATTTTGAAACTGAAGATCAGGACTCCAAGCAGAAGCGGAATACTACCCTATACAGCTGTATCGTTTTTGTTATTTTAATTTCAATGTTACTTTATAAACAGTTCCATTTGGCTAGGATACATGAATTGAATACCGACAACGCAGACAATGACAAGTAAATATTATCATATGATAATTAGATCGCTGATTGAAATTACTGCCAGGAAAACTTTAAATAATAAAAAATAAAAATAAAATTAGAATAATACAATAGATTCAGAATATTTATATTAATATAGTGTTTGAAGTATCGCTTTTTTGATATCCTATATTAAAAAGAACACTTCTTTCGTCATCATAAATAGAGCTCGTATTTTTTAATACATGATTTTTGAAGTATAAAATGTATTTAACATATGTTAAAGTCGACGAGTTATTTTTTCTATATTTTTCATAATTTTAACATTTTGTGCAAACCGTTAAACCATAAATGGTTTTTAAATGAGATATAAAAAATCGGATCAAATATAACTGCTTAATTTAAATAAATGATTCACGCTTATTTTTAAGGTTGTAGATAATTCGTAAATTAAAAAACAAAAAACTAATGAACATAATAATCCATGTTAATATAAAATTAAAGTATATTATTGCAATAAGTATTGCATTAATGAAGATAATTACATTTTAATACAATACAACAATGCTATGTCAGTGAAAGCTAAAAATAAAAGGAAAAATCGGATGATTATTTAATTAATATAATTTTATAGCATAAATACACAAACACCAACGCCATTAAAAACTAAATCGAGTACTGCAGATAATACCGCACCGGTAGAGTTATCAGCTCATCAAATTAATGTAAGTCAATGTGTTGACGAAAAACCTCTGGACTGTTGCATTTTAAAGGTAAATAAATCATTTAATAAAAGAAACTGTATGAACAAAATTTGTAAGTTATAAAATATAAAAATTCTTAATTATGTACTCACATTGAATATTTTTTGGTTGGATTTATCTGACATAAGTTCTAATCGTACAATAATAATTATACCTTATTTGTGTGGTGATTAGGCTAATGAAAGTAGTACAAACTTTATACCTACATCAACTCCATTACAAACTGTATCAAGTATGGAGGATGTTGAACAACTTCAGTCACCAGATCGTCAAGTTACTTTGGGTCAGTATGCAGACGAGAAATATCTGGACCGTTGCATTTTAAAGGTAAAGCAATAAAATTACAAATAACACACTTGGCGTATTATACTTATTGTTAGATATTTAATTAAATTTTAATAATTTCAAAATAATTTACCTAGTTATGATGAGTTTTGTATGGTCATGTTTATCTGACTTAATTTAACAATCTTTTATTAATAATACATTATTGCTTGTTGATTAGGATGACGAAAATAGTACAAACCTTATACCTACCTCAACATCATTACAMACTACTGTATCAAGTATGAAGGATATTGTGCCAGTGAAATTGACAGTTTGTCAGGCTATTGCAACTGATGTAGTGAAAACACATGGTACAAGAAATTTAAAATTTGTTTGTGTTGCAAATGGAATTTGGCAACGGTAAGTGACTATTATTTTTAAAATTGGTTCTTAATTTGTTAGATTTTAAACTTATTATACATCAATTTAATGAAATATAACAAAAAGATTATTAATTATCTGACACAAAAAAAAAAA